AATTAACGAAATATTTGAATCTTCTTCTATGTCCAAGATAATAAAATCTATCGGGAAGATGAACTTATCAACCTAGACTAGCACATATTTAATAATTCCCTTTGGTCTTTTGATAGACATATCAGTCAGTTGCAATGAGATTGTTGTAGGTTTAGCTTCTCCCAATCCAACAGATAGTGTCATTAAGTTAACACTAGCACCTAAATTACATAAGGAATGCTCGAAATAATTATAATCAATAGTGCACGGTATAGTAAAGCTCCATGGGTCCTTTAGCTTAGGAGGTAGCTCTTTTAAGATAATTGCACTACATTCTTCGTTCAGGTAGAAGATTTCATGTTCTTCCAACTTCCTCTTGTTGGACAGAATTTCTTTTAAAAATTTTGCATAACTGGGCATTTGTGCTAGTGTATCTGCAAAATGGATGTTTATGTGCAATTTCTTGAAAACCTCCACAAATTTGGCAAATTGCTTATTTAATTTCTTTTTCTGCAACTGTTGAGGAAAGGGTCGGTGGCGCATAAGTTTTTATGGGACTTGGTACTCTTACTGTAAATTTTTCTTTTCTTTCTTCCTCCTCTTTTGCAACTAGTGTAGTTTTTTCTTCTTTATGAGCCTCTTCAACTTCTATCACTTTGTCTTTTCTGTCTGGCCTCTTCACATGTATCTCTAGCAATTGTACTCCACTTCTAGTTGTAATAGCTTGCACTTGCTCCTTTGGGTTTATCATTGTATTTCCTGGCAATGTCCCTTGTGGGCGTTCTATAAGCTATTGAGCTATCTGACTAATTTGTGTCTCCAACTTCTTGATCGATGCCTGTTGATTTTGAAAATTTGCGTCAATTTGCGAAAACCCCTTGTCTTTTTTCTGCATATACTGATTGAACATCTCCTTCAAACTTGGTTGTTTTTCTTGGAGTGCATTAATTGAATTATTTCCTTCCTGATTATCTGACTATCTAATCTTCGGGTGATGTCTCCATCCTGGGTTATATGTTTGTGAATATGGGTTAAAATTCCAGGAACTATTATGAATGAAGTTGACTAGTTCCTCAAGAAAGCCCATAGAAATATAGTTTTCTGTCAAATGGTTAACTCCACAGTTTGTGCATGATGGACCACCCATCACTGCATGTGCTCCTCTCGTTTGTGATTTCACCAATAGCTCTACCTGCTTTGTCAACGTTGCTATCTGAGCGTTGGTAGATGATGTGCTATCTAATTCATACATCACAGATGCTCTCGGTGGTAACATTTAATGTGTAGTGGCATTTAACTCAAATAAATCAATGGTTTGTTGTAACAATTTTCCTATAATCGATCTACCGGCAGAGAAATCCACATGAGATTTTGATAGTGGTGAGAGTCCGGTGTAGAAGCATAGTATCAGCTTTTTGAATCTGTTCCATGCCTTGTGATAGCTCTCTCCTTCTTTATGTTGGAAAGTTTGAATTTTTAATCTGATTTTAGCTACTTTTGTAGATGGGAATAATTTGTTGCAGAATTTTTTGATCAGTTCTTCCCATGTAGTAATGCTTCCATGAGGTTCGGCGTCTAACCACTCCAAGGCAGCATCTCGCAGTGTATATGAAAATAATCGCAACTTAATAGTGTCTTCATTAACCCCGGAGTATGGAAGTTCTGATAATTTCTGAGAAATCTGAGGATATGTATGTTCGGATTTTCATGAGGTAGCTCGTAGAATTAGATAATGTTGTTCATCAAATTGATCCACTATGCCCTTATTTGAAAATTATTTACCCTGAAATCTGGATACACAATACTGGAACGCACAGGCGCGGCTATGAGCGTCAAGAACATTGAGACTAGCAAGTCTCATTCGTTTATTTCCCCTCCCTCATGCTACTGATTCAGGTGTGTCACTACTCTTGCGGTCACTTGTCCAATTGGCAGAATATGAATATGAATATGAATATTTTGACCTTCAGCCATTTCATGTTGCTATTTTTGTTTTTGTTCCTTGTGTCTTCGTGTGAAAGTATGTTCTATTTTCGAGTCAAACGATTCAAGATCGTCGCATTGGGTACAAAGCATACAACGAACACTCTTTTTTTGATTTTTTTTAAATAAAAGAAAGTAAAATCAAATCAAACCAAATAACAGTTAAAGATAAAATAAACTAAAACTAAATGTACATAGTCCCCGGCAGAGCGCCAAAATTTGTTGCTTTTTTTATATCGCAAATGTACGATATCGTAACAAGTAGTATAGTGGACTTTTGAGTTCGAATATTGTTCCCACGAAAACTATACTTTAACACTTAATCTAATTTTTCTAACTCGTATTTGACAAAAGCAAGTAAATAATTATAATGATCATGATTATTTTTCCTAACTACTTTTAGCTAATTAAAAATATAAAAAAATTGCAAACAATAGATAATTGAAAATTTAAATATGTGATGAATATTAGGGAATAACAATTTCATCTATTGATCACATTTATTCTTAATTTAAGATTCATAACCTAATGTAGTGTTCGATCGAATTCTTCTATTGTATTCAATTTACCCCTCTCGAGTTCTCATTGAACATAATTACATATCTCTATACGAATCAAATTTAGTTAAATGAAACAATAGTTCATAGAATTTATATTATAATCGCAATAATTAGTATAGGTATCTCTACACGTTATATTAATTTATCGGAGTTTATTATATGGTCTAAATCTCAAACTCACCTCTCAATTCATAAGAGACTCACATAATCATCAAATTATTGATCAAGTAATTTAAT